TAGGGTGTGGCAAGCAGGGCAACTGCCCTGCAAAGCTAAGTTACATGCTTGAGCCCCAGGTGGTGCTGGTGCTTGGGCTTATGCCATGGGCGACAGGGCTTGGGCTTCAGACTCCTGAAGGGGGTACAGTAGTCTGGAAAGGCTGAGAACCATTGGACTAGATGACCTCTGGAGGTCCCTTCCAGCCCCACATTTCTATGATTCTGTTGCTCACCTTGGTATTACAATAGCAAGTAGAAGCGCCAACTGTGATTTCAGTCCTGGTATGCTAGGGAGCTGTACAAACATGTCATGAGTAGCGCTCCATGTCTGTCATGCAAGTTGCAGAAGTCATGGATTCTGTGACTTTCCGTGACCTTCGTGAATTCTGCAGCTGACAGTGTGGCTGACCCCAGGGCTATCCAATTAGCTGGCTCTGGGTCCGGTGCTCAGGTGGCCCCAGGGAGAGCTACGCCTGCCGCTGCTGGAGTGGCCCCAGGCAACTGGCCCCAAGACCACCTGAACAGTTGTCCCCAGGGGCCCAGAGCAGCTACTGCTGGCAGCCCTCAGGTGACTGGAGCAGCTGCTGCTGGCAGCCCCCGGGCAGCTGTGCCCCTGACCCCGGACCGCCACAACATGAGCAACTTCAACCCCCAACAGCAGTCCCTGCCTCCTGCCCCCACACACACACACGCTTCTCTCAAGATTTAGTGAGGGGTATTTATAGTATAAGTCATGGACAGGTCATGGGGCTGTGAATTTTTGTTTACTGCCTGTGACATGTTCAAGACCTTTACTAAAAATACTCGTGACTAAATCATAGCCTTAGTCATGAGGCAGCCCCTACCCTGCAAAGCTTTCAGTCCAAATTAACAAGGCAAAGGTGGAAAGAGAGGTGAAGCAACTAGTTTAAGATCACCCAACAGGTGAATGGCAGAGCTGAGAACAAAGCTTAGACCACCTAACTCATTAGTGCCTTATTCACTAGGCTTTTGCTAGTGATATAGGTAAGTATTACTCCCCATTTTTACAAATAGGAACATGGATGTGCAGAGGTCAACACTTTCAAAAACAGAGCTTATGTTAATATGTAGACACCTTAATCAGTGGTCTGGTTTTCAAAAGTGCTGAGCAACCAGCAGCTGTTACTGAGGTCAATGCAAATTACTGGGTGTTCAGCATTCTTGAATATGAGACCACATAAGCATTTGGAAGCTTAACTTTTGGCTTCCATTTTTATGAAAAACATAGCCAGACATTTTAGAAGTGGGCACCTAGAGCAGGAGTTTTCACTATTAGGCCTTCAATTCAAGTAGGCCATTCTTTCTCCTAATTGAGCTGTGTTAACAATTTGCAAGGAAAGGTTAATAATTCTGTTAATTTAGCTTTTTTGTCTGTTTCCTAATTATCCATGAACAGGCAGCAATTTTTACCCGTTTGTTCACTGTTCAACATTGTTTAATGAATGTTGTATGCAAATAAAAGGAAGCCTGTAGATTGTTCCTGAACTGTTTGTTGAAATTGTTTATGGTTCACGATCAGAGATTTTTCATCTAAGGCACACAGTCATAGAATCATAGAATATAAGGGTTGGAAGGGTTGACCCCAGAAGGTCATCTAGTCCAACCCCCTGCTCGAAGCAGGACCAATTCCCAGTTAAATCATCATTCCCAGTTAAATCAGTCAATGATTCTGTTCCATGATTGGATGAGATAGTCTTTATAAACAAAGGGGATCCTGATTAGGTGATTGATTCTCTTGAGAGGGAGGTGGGAACACTTTCGGGAGGGAGGTGAAGCAGGAGCTGGAAGGTCTAGGGAGTTTTAGGGCATTCTAAATCTTTTCCTTCCTGTTTTTCCACAAGAAAGAGCAATATTTGTCTACACAGATGGATCCTAGATTTAAAGATACCTGCATTCCTTAATGACAGAGGAGGAAAAGCCCTACAGAACTGGAAGCAACATTTACTGATTGTTTACATTAAACTTCCAGAGCAGGAACGTTTTACTGAAATGCCCGTAGACATTCAGCAGCATAACTCAGGCAGCCCCATTGCTGCAATGTTCACAAGTAGCCCATCTAATCCTTTCAAGCCTACATTTGTGCGGTATTTTAGACTGGAGGTGCCCAAAATATCCTTTGGACAGCTCAGCTTAGCTGATTCTCAAAGAGATTGCATGGGTAAGAGACCTTTTCTTTGCAACCTGTTAAATGGGTCCATGCTGGCGAGGAGTGGGTGCTCCTCACTATTTATCTATAAAGTTGCCCATCGCAATGGAACGTGACCACATTCCACACACATTTCATGACCTGCTGTCTTCCCTGTCTTTTCTGCATCTCCTCTCTCTTTATCCCAAATCAGCTCCTATGAACATCCTTACAAATGATCACAAGAACAGTCATATGTGGTCAGACCAATGGTCCAGCTAGTCCAATATCTTGTCAGTGCCCAATGCCAGATGCTTCAGAGGGAGTGAAAAGAACAGACAATCATCAAGTGATCCATCCCCAGTCATCCACTCCCAACTTCTGGCAAACAGAGGCTAGAGACACTCAGATCATGCAGCTGTATCCCTGACCATCTTGTCTAATAGCCACTGATCGACCTATCCATGAAATATGAACCATTAAAACCTGAATTGTCATCATCACAGATCCAAATATATAAAGTAAATGAACTCTAATAAGTTCTCAAGCAGCATTGCTTGAGAATATACCAATGTTCGCATGCAATGAACATAAAGATTGTAATGACTTGTGAAGTGTTCATAGCTAACTTTCCCGAGTTGTAGCTGTATTCCCAGTAAATAAAAATTCTTGTGCTGGGCTTATCTGAGAAAAGTTCATAGGTTCATCTACACACCAACATGTTTAGATGCTTCTCTGACCCACATGTAACCTCTTAGGTCTCCAAAATGGACCTGAAAACCTTGTTAGAAAAAGCTGTCTTGTGTGCCTTGTAGTGCTGCTGCTATTTGTATTCAAGCAGTGCCTAGAAATCCCAAACAGGGCCTGTTGCGCTCAGTGCTATACAAACACAAAAGAGTTTGTTAGAACTTGGCTTCCTCTAAACCGTCATTTAATGGCACCATTGAGCTCCAAGGCCCACAACTTCACGTGCAGTCTTCTCTCTCTTTTCTCTCATACCAGGGGAAATGTTCAGACTGGTATGTGGAGGAAATTAGTTGTATGGTGGAGGGATGTTTCATGTTAACAAGAGGAGGAATCTGTGATGGTTCCCCAGCTAAGGATGGGCTAATGGCAGAGACCTCCTGATTTCCCTGGGGCCTCAAATTATGATCACAAAGCTTTCCTTTGGTGTAAAGTAGCTGATGCTCCAGCCAACATGGCATGAGCAGTAAACATTACACTTCACATTGTTTCCACCATTCCTTGTCTGAACTGGCCCTACCAGAAATACTGGAAGATCAGTACTTCTCCTTGGATTTCAGCACTTACACTGTCATTTCAATCAGTGGAAATGCAGAGGCATGTGAAATAATATATATTAGGTCCAAACAAGCTGGAGGTGGGAGGGGGAGGAGAGGAAGAGACATACAAGAATCCAAACGTGGACGTGATTTGCCACAGCAATGTGCCAAACAGACCTGAACAGCTCAGAACTTTTTGTGATTCAAAATCCAGGGCTGAAACTTGTGGCTCACTCATTTCATATGAGAAGGCTACACTTGATGAAAGTCAGAATCACTTGCCATCCTTTCTGTGAATAATCCTTGGGCTTCATCTCACTCCCAAGCAGTTTATTCATAGATTCATATTTTTAAGACCAGAAGGAACCACAGTGATCAAGTTGGACCTCCAAAAAAAACGTTAGGCCACAGAATTTTATCCAGCAATTCCTGCATCCAGTATATCTTTTTAAAAGATTATCTTGATTGAGATACACTTTCCACAGTATGCATCCGATGCAGTGAACTGTGGCTCACGAAAGCTTATGCTCAAATAAATTGGTTAGTCTCTAAGGTGCCACAAGTACTCCTTTTCTTTTTGATTGAGACTGCAAGTGATGGAGAATTTACCACCTTTTTTGCATGTGTTTGATATTATTTTAAATATGTCACATATTATGGTTCCCATTTTCTAATTTTATGCAAGGACCAAATTCACCCAGTTTGCCACTGGAAGGTGTAGATTACATGGTCCCCATGTGTCCCAGCAAGAATTGCTTACCCCAAGTCAGGAGAATAGAGAGATATTCTACCAGTCTCTTCCTTGGTGGAAAGGAGGCAGCTTTATTATGTGGCTGGAGCCCCACCAGATGGGATGACCTAGGGAAGACACTGAATCAGCACTTCACCTGTCTGTCTTGGTGATAACCTCTCCCCACTAGGTGCCGCACAATTTTGGAGCTCTGCTGGTCACCTGCCTACCCACCCCATAGAGTTGAAGATTTCTGTTTGCTCTTTGCCAACACAGCTTCCCCCTTTGGGCTGTCTTTTCACCCCTGGGCCTTCTGTCTTGGACTTCTGGCATAGTCGCTGGACAAAATGTGACCCCAAGTTTGCATCTTACCCAACAATTCCAACTTCCACACAGGATATTGTGTCCATTGATGCTTATATTTTGGTTTCCTCTATTCATTCCATGCACCTAAACACAGTGGCCTGAACTTTCTGAGACATGCTGGCTGGCATCCAAAGCTTCCAAATGTGAAATGGTCAGAAGTGAAACATTTCAGGGTCAGCAACCTAACAAAAATCTGTAAAACTATCACTAAGAAGATTAATAACTAGACAAGAACAGTTGATCCTCATTGTCCCAGACTGTAGTATCTGTTGACATATCTCACAATACACTTCCTTTCCCAGGATTTTCTGTCATGATAAAAAAAATCAACTTCCATACATTTCAGCTCACTATCTAAAACCCAAAATATGCTACTGACATTTCATATTACATTTTATTGCACAATCTGTAGGGAAGATAGTTAACCAGATAACTTTTCACAATAGTTGCTCTTAAAGCTCGGTCTGTTTTATCCCTTCTTTTTTTATGTTCAGGAAATGGCATCTGATGTGATACAACTGTTTCCATGCCCGCTCAGTGCAGTTCATCTTGTTTGCTGGATTAGGCTCAGGAGGGAGGCAAGGTAAGAGACTTGGCTGTGAGTATTCAACATACAGAAGAAGAATTTTACAGATGTACCCACATTGAAACAGCACAGGACCATGTATCTGCTAGATAATTCATTTTGAGATTTATCAGATCAAAGGTCAAGATCAGAACAAAATTAAATGGTTTCTTTGTCAGGGCTTAGTAGGCAGAAGGTGGGGGGTATGTATTGTGAGCACTCTCTAGTTAAATTGTTGTAGTAGCACAAAACATTACTGCATTAGGCTGTAGCCTGTAATCAGTCCCAGCTGGAAGCTCATATCAACATTACTGTTCATCTTGCCAGTTCCCTGTTAATCCTTTAAAAGGGTAGGTAAAAACAGGACTGGTATCTTATATTACATAGGTGGATTTATGGAACCCAGCTATTCAAATATTTTACTCTTACCGGACAAACAATTTTTATTTCTGAAATGTTTAATTGGTTAATTTAGAACATGCAAAATAAATGACAAAAGGCTCCAGAGGAAATTTTGTCTCATTTTGGAGTACTGTTCAGGGTTTTAACATCAGGCCTTCTTCTGTTCACTGTGGCAATGTCTTCTTTTGGACCTGAGTAAAATTCTATATATAAAAATTTGGAAAAAATATTGTTGAGCCAATTATTTCAAAATGTATACATTTCCAGGAGCCCTAATCTCTTGGATTCCAGAAGAATCCATTTTGGCTTTGCTCCTCAGCATTTACATGAGACCACATGGAGGGGTAAGTTGATATGCTGTGAGCTCAGCAGCCATCAATATGCCAATGATACCGAAGTGATATCTCACTTTCCACAGATGCAACCAGCACCATCACACTTATGTCACTAGGCTTACAAGAGTCAGTCCTGCCTGAAAACAGCTCAAATTAAACCTAGGTAAGACCAGCATGATCCTGGTCAAAAGGGGACAAAAGTAGCTGGGACCCTGTCCTTCTCTTACCCTGAAAGCATCTTTCCCCTCCTCTCCTGCCCCTAAGTAGTGTGAAGTCTTCGTGTCCTGTTCAACTCATAACTAAGGTTAGATGATCACGTAGCTTAAATGAAGAAACCTTCTTCCCCCTGGGGCTTCCTAGGAAACTCCACACCTTCTTCCCAGAGGGAGATGTGACACATTTGTTACTCCTAGATTGGATTACAGTATCTGAAACTGTATTCACATGTGATGTGCAGTGGCTCCAGTTTGAATGCATCTTCCCACTTCCTTGATGGATTTCCTATGGGGTACTGTGAGCACATCATTCCTATACTCCAGTCCCACCACTGATTTCAAGTCCATGTCCATTGTTATTTCAAAGTCATCAATGGTTAGGACCCATTAGTGACTATGTCTTCATCCACAACCCCTCTCTAGAGCTGCATTGATCAGCTGTAATGCAGCTTCCAAAGACCAGCACAAAGTAAAACCCTCCTCTATGACAAAACCTTTCCATCAGAATAGCATGATTATTTAAAGAAAAAATTCTTCAAGCGGAGCTTCCAGAACTGGGGATAAGAGAAAAGCAGAAAACTCATTAACATTTAGTTTACTTGGGAATCACATATATACTGGGTAATGTGATAGAAAACCCTAAACGAAACAGACATAAATATATTTTGTAGGATATAGTTCTGAATGTACTAGTTACATACATAAACAGAATTCAGTGTATCAATTTTATACTCAGTTCCTGTTATACCCACTACTTATTTCCAATGTACAATGGCTGGTACTTCAAATGATGATTTTTCTGAAGGTTGTTTCTAGCAGAGATGTAAGATGAAAGCAGATCAAGATTTAACTTAAAAGTCTGAACTCCATATAGCATGGTTCCACCCCATAGTCGTGGGAGGAAATGATCCTTTGATAGTCACAATAGATAGTCAGAGCTCTTTGGAAACTAGAATGTCTAGAAAGAGATTTGAGGCTTTTATGATTCAAGTTTCTTGTGGATTCTCTAGTGGAAAGAAACATAATTGCATCAGTTGAATGGTATACACTATCTACGCTATTGATTTTTGAAAACACTATTATATTAGAATCTAATCAGTTTTGTAAACAGCATTTCTTGTTATAGACTAATGGAACAAAATATTTAATTTCCTACTTTTTTCTCCAATGAATGCTGTACTCATTTTGTCTCCTGCATGCTTACAAATCACTTTGACATCAGAATCCCTACTTTACCTTTGACCTTGATTTTGCAACTCGGGACTTTCTCCTACACTAGTAATAATAGCTCTGAAAAAAAGCCATTTTCTCCCATTTATAGTGGATCCTGCTGTGTGGATTTCTTTAACAGGATTTAGATGATCTCCTTATCTGTAGTCACTTTTCCTTTCTCCTTTCCATATGTTTATCCTTAAGACAGCCTTTAGCTCACATCACTAATCTCGCAGATGGCTATCAGCCATCTCAAACACCTCAATATGTAGCTCCAACACACTTTTGTGAGTTAACTAAACACTTATCTCTCAAATTTCCCACCTATTAAACCATAAATATAAAGCTACAAGGACCCAGGTAAGAAATAGCATGCTAACTTTAGAAGCAAGGAAAAGAAATAGAAAATATGTCTATTGCAATAGAAATGCACAGTGCACTTCTGCAAATGCCAAGACCTAAACAAACTCTACACAGTGACTTTTATCTAGTACTCACATGAGTAGGTGCTCACTAACATTAAAAAAAGGTTTGTCAATCTGCTCCGAACGAATCAGGGGTGATTTAAATAACTGGATTTCTCTGTATCTAATGGAGGAGGGGGAAGAGCTCTGCCAGAACCCTAAGACAGAATCCTGAATACTGTGCTTAAATGTTTAATATCTTCCATGTTGTGTGTTTTCTTTTTTGTAACCTATTTGCTATTAAAAGCTTATTCTGTTTAAGAAACCCCCTCGTGATGGGTAAGGTTAATATATTTAGGACAAGGTACTCTCTCAGATTTTCTAAAGTCCTCTAGCCAGAAGCAAGGAAAAATTTTGTGAGGGTAAGTCTGGTCACTAGTCGTGTATGTGAGAGGAGATTTAGTTTCACTTACAAGAGATGCCCAAGAGTACAGAAAGGGCACAGAAAGTGTGAAATTACCTTCAGGTATACCCGCTACTGACTTCAGTGGGAGTAGCATTTGGAGCATGAGTCTAAGTATGTGTCACAGTGTGAAAATAGGATTTTAATTCCTGAATTTTAGATATTGAGTAAAAAACAGAGAAAATAAAATATGTATAGAGTTGTTTTCTTGTCTGCTTTCTCTAAATAGGATGACACGGGATACTGCTGCTATGTAAAAAGAAAAGGAGTACTAGTGGCACCTTAGAGACTAACCAGTTTATTTGAGCATTAGTCTCTAAGGTGCCACTAGTACTCCTTTTCTTTTTGCGAATACAGACTAACACGGCTGCTACTCTGAAACCTGCTGCTATGTAGTAAATTCTTTAAATAGTCAAGTAGCTAAGTCATGTCAACTAAACCTAGCAAAGAAGTATGAAAAAGTAATTATTTAGTATAAGGAAACCTGCCACTTTCTGCCTCCATATCCATTCTGCCCTGGGCATATAGGTACGCTAAACTACCCAATCCATGCTACTTTCTAATGGGGGAATGTGAGGCTTGTTGGGGGTGCCCAGGGTCGTGAGGCACCTCGCTGCCACCTGCCCTTGGCATGAGAAAGCCTTGTCTGTGACTGCTGTGCATTAACTCCCCAATTCCACTGCTGACTCAGTATGCAAAAGGCATACAGTGTGAGCCATACAATAAACAAATGCCAGACAGGGAGATAGGTGTCACTTACCTCTTGCCTGAAAGGATTAGCTGTGAGGTATGTCACCTCCTGGTGATCTGTCTTCACTCCACGAGTTTAAGAGCATAATTTTCAGTATAGACACATAAATCCATAAATATTATCCATCCACACATTTTGGAATGGTTATGATGACCAGTAGGCAACTGGCTTTCAGTTGAGATCTCACATGTGATACATTGGTGAACTATTATGCAGATATCTGACTCAGCGAATCCCTGTAAAATCCTATGCATCCTGTGTTCCCTCTGCCATTTGGTATCAAGGAGTCTCTGGGTCACAGGGAGACTGGAAGAACTGGCTGCAAAGGAAGGCAGGGTAAGGCACATCAAGGTGGGTGGAAGAGCCAGACTGATGCCAGTTGAGACCCAAATTGGCCCACAGTACAAGCCTACTGGGAACTGAACAATGCTGAAGTGTTTATCTAATCTTCACTTTGCGCATGAGGCTTTGCAGGTAACTCCTGTAACTGCTCCAGCTGTTGTATAATTGATTGTGAAAGCTAGACAAATTGCTGTACCATAAATAACATACAAATGTGATAATGGTCCTGTGGTTGGGAGGTCCTATTATCAGCGCTCGGCAATATATAAACATCTGAGGTGATCAATACCCTGATTAGAATGAATTTTGTGGTGAGAAAATGGCTGAAGCCTTGCAATGTATCTGAACTGACAAAAATAGTTTTGATCAGAGACTTTAGACTGCTTAAAACAAGGCATGAGAGGGTGGAATTCTATCTTTAATTATAGGCCACTGGCTATGGTAAAAATGTAGGGTCACCTATTCCCCATGCCACACAGTGTGCCACCAATGACATCAATGCAGAGAGACCAAATATAGAATCTGGCCTTTCTGTAGTAGCTAAACTTTTAGTTAATATTATTTATTGTTTGTCTGGTGCCTTATTGCTGTGTTCAGTACCACACAATAGGAAAATATGCTTCCCTTTAGGACCAGTATTTACCCTTTGTTTTTCTTCCTCCTTCCTCCTCCTCCTTTTTTTTTTTTTTTTTTTTGGTTTCTCTCTCTCTTCCTTGTCTTTAGGTCTCTTCTCATTTCTTCCCTCTGAACTTACTTTCCTGCATCAACTCCCAAATAGCCACCTCTCATAGTCATTCCCAACCTCTTTCTCATTCTTCTTCTGAGATAAGCACGGAAATAGTGAATGATAATATTTAAAGTTTTGTTAGGCTTTTGTTTTAACACTCAGTGACA